CAATGTGTTCTCAATATCTGCCTTTGAAGCCTGAAGATCACTTATTAAATTTTTTCTTTCCAAGATATCCAGCCAATCAAAACATGCAAAGGCTAAAGTACTTGGACTAGGTGTACTTGTTGTAATAGACCTACTTGATTCAGAGACTGCTAAGTAGAGATGGGCACGCGCGTGATCCCGCGCGTCACGCACGGGATTTTTAATATGATCCCGAAATAAGATTCTCTGGCCGGCATTACCATAATATCTGGCTAGCATTATATAATATCTTACCTGCATTAACATATTTAGCTAATTCCTAATTTATTTATTTATTTATTTGCATACCACTTCACACATATGTTTATTTATATATACAATAAGAATTTACCTTCTTTGCCGTTGGTATCTTTCGCTTACATTACAAAAATATTCTTTATGATTAAGTTGCTCGTTTAAAAATAAATTACATGCGTAGTAATAATAATATTTGGAATCATCTTACAAAAATTGGATCAGATGAAACCTTTAACCAAGGACGTACTTAATGTAATTACTGCTATTAAACTTTGCAAAAAATATGTGGAAATTCACTATTTTGATTGACCAACGGCAGCAACAAAAAATTTACTCGAAATTTTAGTAAAGAAATCGTAACCGCCCATTAAGTGAAATTAGGGTTTAAATTGTTGTGGTTTAATGAGTCCCGCGCGGGATTTTTGGAGAAACCGCAATTTTCCCATTTCTAGGTACTATATATCCAGTGAAATTACATGAAATTCATGTTACTAAAACTTATGTGAAATTACATGTATTGTAAATTTGTAAAATGTAATTCTCAAACCTTAAACAATTAAAGAATTAAACTCCGGCCAAAATTTTGTCGATCACAACCGTTGGAAAATCAAAATTGAGGTTCAACCACGCGGCACCTAGATTTAATGAATCCCGCGCATCACGCGCGGGATTTTTTGAAAAACCGCGATTTGCCCATCTCTACTGCTTAGTGATTATCTGTACTTATAGCTACAGCTTCTTTATTTTGAGATTTTGTATAATATATATTTTCTTATCTTGCTCTTTTCTTCTGAACTCTCCAGAAAAATGTCTTGCTTTTCCTTGGGACAAAGTCAATGCCCTTGTTCTGAATGTAAGCATTTTTTTATAAGCTCTAGTCTTCGAAATTTTGTCTTCTCTGAGTCACCCGGTACTTGTATGCTGCAGAGTGTCTGAAGATCGCCTCTAGGCAATTTTTTGAATATCTAAATAATTCTGAGAACAGTATACGTTGAAACATGATAAAGATCTCATAATCTTAGTTTTATTTCGCATTCATCACATAATTGAACTCAGTCAAATCGCATAATTTACCTCATTTCATCACATAATCCCGTTACACCAAATTGAGATTCGTTATTGGCTTATTTTCATAGATCATCAAATGACGGTAAAAATTACATATAAATTTGTTGGCGATACGCTTTTGATATTTAGCAATGATCTGCAACTTAATAATATTTGTTCGACAACATTTGAAACAACTTTTTTAAAAGCTTTTTTTTAACATGATAAAATTACCAAATGAATGCCTTTTCGAAATATTTATTAAACTTAATAGTATAAACTTATTTTCATGCTTACTCGTAAACCGGAATTGGTGCAGAAATATTGTACCATTATTATGGCAACGACCAATTACTTTAAGAAATAGAAAATTAGTAAGAACATGTCTTTTATTATTAAATTTCGAAGAACAAGCATTATTAATACCATTTGAAATAAAATTTTCGAATAAATCAAAACCATTATTTAAATATACAACATATATTAAAAATATTAGTATTTGGTCAAGTGATGGAATTGTAAAATGGCTTAATTATGAAGGATATGGACCTCGTCGTTTAGAATTTTCAGAAAATGATAATGTAGTTCAAGCAATTAAATCATCATTAATTTCAATGTTTTTACGAACTGCTAATAAACTTCAACGTTTAAGGATTAATAATAGTAGAATGGAAAATTTATTAACAAATATTCTTTTTAAAAATATAACATTATCTTATTTAAGTATTTGGAATTGTTTACTTAGTTCCGAACATTTATCAGAAGCACTTGGTAGAAGTAAAACTTTAATATCATTGTATATTGGTAGTAGTCAACTCGGTTTTGAAGGAGAAAAGGCATTAGCAGAAGCTTTATGTAAAAACACAACTTTAACATATTTCGGACTTTATAATAATCAACTTGGCAGTGAAAGAGGAAAAAGAATGATAAAAGCACTTTGTAAAAATACATCCTTAACTTCTTTGAGACTTACTAATCAAATTAGTATTGAAGGAGGGAAAGTATTAGCAGAAGTTCTTTCTAAGAATACTACACTAACTATTTTAAATATCGGTAATAATCAACTTGGTTTTGAGGGAGTGAATGAATTAGCAAATGCATTATGTAAAAATACTACTTTAACTTCTTTAGATCTTAATCGTAATAACATTGAAATTGAAGGAGTAAGATCATTAGCAAAAGCTTTTTGCAAAAACACTACTCTGGTATCCTTGAATCTTTCATCAAATCGCATCAATTCTGATGGCGGAAAAATATTGGTAGAAGCACTTTATATGAACACTATTATAACTTCTTTGACTCTTATTAATAACTACATTGATGAAAATATTTTGAATCAAATTAATAATTTACTTGAAAGAAACAAAAATATTGTTAAATCTAGAGAATAATTTTATAATAAAATTATTGTTATTTTAAAAAGGTTATAATTATTAATTTTTTGGATTTTTTAAAAATAAATTATAAAATTATTCGATATCTTTTTACTACAATTCATAATTAGCATTTTATAGGAATTATAAGCTTTATAATCAATGAACATAATCTTTTGTAATTGAATAACTAGAATGTATTGTTATTATGCTGAGAAAATTTAATTTTTCGGATTTTAAATCAAATTTGAAAAAAATTGTGTATTTCTTACAAACTTTATTTATATAGTCTACCAATAAATAATTTATACAATGAAATTGTTTGTAGAGATGCGATTTGGATATCCGTTAGGTTAATTTTATAACAAATTTATTATAATGAATCCAGATATCCGTTAAATTTTAAGTACGAAAACGGATCGCATCTCTAGTTGTTTGAATTAAGTATGCTTACGTGAGGATTTGTGATATGTGTTTTATGATGAAATTAAAAATTAAAATTATATTTCACGGGCACGAATGTTAAATCTTCAATACCTAAAATTTTTTTGAAAATACTTTGATGCTTAGTAATGTGGCTGATTAGATTAAAATGAAATTCTGTATAGTGCAATATAGACAAGCCACCGAAAATACGTGGGATGTTTTTTTTAGGGTTAGGTCAGATTTAGGGTATAATTTATAGTAAACAAAGGTTAAGTAGGTTTAGTGTTAGAACAAATAAAAACACAAATTTCATTTTAATCCGATTTCATTATCTGCAACAGTAAAAATATTAAAACTGCGTAAATTTTGAAAATACTGTAGTAAAAGTGAATATAGTCGCCTACGTAAAGTAAAAAACAAAAGATTGAAAAATCAAGCTTCACTATTTAAAATTTTTGCAGTAAACGGGAAGTAATATATGTGTGCATGAGAGTGAAAACCTGGAAACCGATCTAATGATTTACTATGATCGGTTTCCAGGTTTTCACTCTCACGCACTCATATGAAGTATCAAATCATGATCTAAAAAAGAGGTTTTACGTTGTTTGACCAATAATGTATAGTTATTGGATGCGTAGCATCCAATAATGAAATTTATCTGATACGTATATAGTATGTATGTATGTACTGTACAGTACGTACCAGTGCTTTATCTATTTCGGGGTATAGAAATTAATTAAACCCCAAAAATATAATTCGTAGGTCACTTCTTTTTAGGATGCATATTAACCGGTTATTAGAGATTCATGGACTTTCATACGCACATATTAGGAAGTTATTAGTTTCTCACGCTTTTGCATTAACGAATCGGATTTTACGTGTTTTGAACCTTAATATTGAGCTTAATATTTGAGTAAATTAGCATATTAACAAGTAACGGTAAGATGTCATCTAGATTAATGTTTCAGTATTGCATTACCTGTATAAAATGATATAGTCTAATTATTTAAACAAATCATTAGCAATGAACCAAGACTATAAATATAACGGAGCTTATTCATATTACAAAAGTGCCGGCATTGTGATTTCGTGCCATCCGGACTTAAATTTAGATCATACGTATGAATTAGCCTTTTCTCCTTTTATATCAATCGATATAAAAATTTTATATTAACTTTAACGTTAATATCGTATGTTCAAATATATTTTTGACGTTGATAATTATATAGTTGCTAACATATTTAATACGTACGTAAATAATAAGGCGCACATTTGGCGTACTCTAGGCTTAGAGACCACAGGACTGACAATTTTTGTGGCATGATTAAAGCTTCGTATAAATGTACTGTATAAATATGCACGATAATCTTGTTTTAAATTATCATCATCATACTAATACGTAATCTAGGCTATAACTAGACCGGACCGGCGTTTCTATACTCCGATAAACATCAAGTTTAATACAAATAAGTTAAACATAAAATCATTTGAAAAATAAGGTTAAAACTCATTATCCATCGGCCTAACCATATCAAGTTTTCAAGAGTAAAAGAACAAAGCAACCTATTCCCGCTATTTTGTTCAATGTATCAAAAAGGATTTATTAATGACGATAATGTATTGCCTCCTAAATTAATATGCTGAATACCTAACGCTAATCACTGAGTTAATAAAATACGTGCGTGCGTGCGTACGTGCGTACATACGTACGTAACTATTCAGAAATTTGTAACCCTTTTTAATGATTTGGACCTCAAAAAATGGATATTATCGCAAATTATTTTAAAATCGATAACCTTCATTTCTTCATTAAAAACTTTATACTTTTTATAAACTTATCAGAATTTTACCAGAATTTCGATATATATATATATTACCATGGTTACCATTAATATGCAATCATGGCAAGATCCGGCTTTTCCGGATGTCTCGATCCTTCAAGAAATTACTGAGGATATTTTAGTAAACTTTCGAAAATGTAAAGAACTAAAAGTTATCAAAAAAGATGAATTAGATCAACTTGATAAACAGAATAATACATTTAATAAATTAACTGAACGAAGGGCTATGGAATCCTTAAAAATGTCTGAATATTTAGCTGATGTCGTGAAATATCTACAATTACTCTCAAAGGAAAATGTGAATGTTACTGTAATTAAACAATCTTTAGGATTATTATTGAAAACGGCTAAAGTTCAAAAAGATAAATCTGAGGAATTAAAGAATGATTATACCTCTTTTTATAATGAATTGAATAAAGTTAAAAAGAGGCAACTGAATACGAATATAATGTTTTACTTATTAGTAGGATTATTAGTTCTTATAATAGCCATAGCTTGTAATATTTATTTATATACAAATTTAGGGCATTATAATACTTTACAACATTCGGATTCTGCGGAAAAAACACTGGATGATTATTCATTAAACGACGCGTGTAGTTTTTGTAAAGATATTGATCATGTTAAAGATGTATGTCGTATTTCAGATCATACGGAAAGTACACCTTATAATTTTTCTATAAATGATGGCTATGAAATTTGTGGTCATTTCTTTGAGGAAAATTGTGTTACGAAAGATGATAGTTTAGGATCCCAAATTGTTTCTCTTGTAAAGACCCAATTTTTTTCTATTTCAAATATTGTTAATTATAGAAATTTTGCTGATCAACATTGTAAAGTAATAAATCAAGACATTCTGCAGAATAATAAAACATTTTATGAAATTTGTGAATATTTATTAGCGAATCGAAAAGGTAAGCTTAAAAAACTTTTAATGAAAATTTTTAACTTGTTCATAAGTCGCTTATACTATTCTAATATACTGTATTTGATGTAGATGAAAATTCAAATGATTCAATGAACGAACAAGATGATGAAAATGATGAAAATGATTCACAATATGCCATAACTACATGTGAACAATGGCAAATTAGTAAAAATCTGAATCATGTAAAAGACATGCACTATTACTATTTAATAATTAATTCACTAGTCAGTTGCATAACTATACTTTTAGTTACTCTCATGATTAAAGGATTGGTTAATTGGATATTTCAACAAGATAATAATGATCAGGTCACCGCATCAGATAAAAGAGTGAATTTTGTACAACATATTAAAGATAGATTTCCAGGAATTAATAGCAATATTATTACTTTAAATCAATTTTGGAAAGCACAGATTACTATTATCAATGACCATATTTCGGTTTTTGAATCTATGAATGCGAATAAGATCAATTTACCATATCAACTTGTAGATTTGATTATAAGGCTTTGGGATGAAGAATGCAAACGTTGTAAAAGTTGTTATTATAAATTAAATGAAAGCATAACTTTAAATTCTATACTTGAGGTAAATATATTATATCTTTTGTATCTTGAAGTTTTTATTTTATTAATAATGACTAAATTTTATATTTCTACTACTATAAAATTTCTATCATAATTTTATGCAGTAAAAACAATCAAGTTACATGTACTTGCCGTTCAAATCATTATATAATTTTGGCTTGTTTATGCTAAATCTCAAACTTTTAACAAAACTAATGCCTCAAAATCTTTATTAATAATAATCTATATTTAAACAAGCGAAAATATTTTTTTTCTTTCAGTTGTTTTGTAAATAGCAATTTTTTTTTGATTATCCAGGTTTTGTCAACAAATATGAATGTTATGTCACTATTCATTTTCGTATCAAAAAGCAAAATACTTGAGACATATAAATATATTTAGTATATCAATTTTTGTAAAACTTTACGTAAATAAAATGTATAATCATCTTAGTATACTTCATTGCAATAATTGCATTTATAATGTGGCTATATTGATTAAACTCGTGGTTTTGTTCTCCATGATTATGAATATTTAAATTCATGTTTATACATGTTTATTTGGAACTCTTATCATTATTATTCATTATTATTCTTATGTGGAATGAATGCCATAATAACGCTTCTAAAATTAATAATGAAAATTTATTGCATTGGCATTTAATCCTACTTAACTTTTTGTAACCTAGCGACTCTCCTTTATTATAGCCCATTTTTTATATAACAAATTTATTTTAAAATACGAATATATTTTATTATGATTTCTAAATGAGAAGTACTTCTATCATGCCGTTATCTGTGTTAATTGAGTGCATAAATATAAAACTGTAATTTTATTAATGCACGTTGAAAAAGGCAATGTGACTTCCAATGTAATATGGTCAGATAAAGAGATAATACTACAAAACATTACCGCTACGCTAATTCTAATAGGGGTAGGGCTTCGATAGAGAATTGTTCCAAGTAATTAGGGTATTAAACTTTAAATTATGTCATGAGTTTTCCAATATCGAGTTGTCATGCCTGAAGGTACACCTGCCTAGAATTACTAACTAATTCGTACTGATCCAATTTCAAGGGCTAATTTCAGCCAAGTGCAACTTGAATTGCAACTTCAAGCACGACAAAAGTCACGTATAAATGTCAATTAAGTTCTTTATTAATCGGGAGAATTTAGAGTATGATACACTCGTATTGGGTTCTAATTTGGACTCAATTCGAATTACTGAACTCTGTGTTGCTTTTTGTTAAAGGTAAGCTTTAGTCGATTACATAATTTTCTGCTACGTATGAAATAAATATAAATTGTTCCTATTATATATCAGATATATATGTCGTTTCCCAAATGACAATCTGGTCAAAAAGTAAATTTAGCCCAGACATTAGGGTTAGATCTGGCCAATTTCATTTTTGCTGTCCCAATCAACAATCGGTAGAGATTGTTATTTGGGGTACAATATATTTATATATTTAGTATCGTATTGATTACCCTAATTTTATTGATATATACTTTTGCTGTATTGTATTTAATTTATTAAATATAAGAAATAGAAGAGATTTAAAATGTATAAATCGAAAAGATTGATTGCTATACCCTGTATGAGAATGCAACGTTCTTAACGTTAAGGTCGTAATAGATGTTGTTAATGGGTCCATCAAAAATTAGGCAGACATGTACAGTACCTGGAGCTGACACTCTCATACAATTGTAACTTCAGGTTACACTTAACTAAAATTAGTTGTAACTTCGGGTGCCTGAAGCTCTAACTTCAGGCAGGCGCTAGCTTTTGGCACAATAATTACATGAATAATACACAGTATCAAATTTCAAATTGACAGAAGGTCAACAAATCTGAAAAATAGATATACCTGAAACGACTCTGCACGTAGTTATTTGTAGCAGACGATTAAACTAACACGCATGCCCAATTTTGAAATTATTAAATTACTACTAATAACCATGTTGTTGGATTAACATAACAGGGTATGGCAGGCAGATGACGATAGTATCCCCAAAGCCGAGTGAGGATCGCACCTGAACCCTCCCACCCTATGCAGAATCCTGCCATTTTGGAGTACCTTTAAAACTTAATGTCAAAAGCTTTGTGCACCCGTGCAATTAGAATTACTATTTCTGGGCTCAGTTAATACATCATATGCACTGATATGTGCCGCATATTCTCAATAAAAATTATTTACGTATGTACGTACGTACGTACGTAATAATTTTATATCAGGGATTTGCCACGTGTTGCATTCGTAGCTTTTCAGCTGATCTAGTTGATCACTTTATGATGTAAGGTTGCATTTAAGGAGTTGTATTTAGGGGACATACTGCGCGAGCGGAATACTTCGGAATCCGGAATGTTTCGGAATTTAACAATTGTGGCCTGCACTAGTAGAAAACTATCATAATGCGAGCCTGCACAGTATGTTCGATTTGCCCATCTTTAACCATACGTACAATAAATGGTTTGCTTCTACTGTATTTCTTATATTGCGTATCTTACGGTATGAATCATGTTTGTATTTAGAAATTATGTTGAAAGGAGAATATGTTCATTATATTGTACTTTTGATTGTATTAATTTATTATAGAATAAATGATTTTATCCGGCAGCTTAATATGATTTATCTGCCAAATAATTTTATTATTGGGCAGAAACGAAAATTTAAAATAGTTTAAAATGGTTTAAATTTTGTATCTGCCCAATAATTTTATTATTGGGCAGAAAATCATAATAAGCCGCCTGATAACTATTTAGTATTAATTTATTATCGTTATAGTAATAAATAATGTTCAACTGTAGCCTAGAAAATCTTACGTTTATTTAGTATTTTATTTAGTATTCTTTATTTTAAAAACCACTATTAAAATGTAAAAATTGTATTTAACCTTTGTCATTATTTTGGATTTTATTGCGCCCGTTATTAACATAGTATTTACTTTGCTATGGTATTAACACCAAAATTAGGTATGTAAACTCTGTTTAAAATCGAATCTAATCGTTAACCCGAGATTTATGAAAAGTTTTTATTTATTCAAATTATTCAATAACCAATAACTTATTAATTTTGCATCGGATTTACATTCAAATTTGAATTTTGATAAAAACGTACCTATGATATTTTCACTATATCAAATTTATTTTTTAAAGAACAAAAAGGTAAATTTTAAGTTTTATTATGAATATGCTTGAAAGGAACATCATCGCAAAATAATTTAAATGACTTATTATTATTATTTTTTCTAGCAATTCGTAGAGCTTTTAAATTTCTCAATGAATTTTTCTGCATTGACTTCCTCAATGCATGTAAATGCATGTAAATCTGTAAATCTCGGGGAGTTTTTAGCTCGAACAGTTTGGGATGATGTAGCTGTCTCATGGTTTGTAATCTATAACACAGATACATATCGACTAATTATGATATATATTTCTTCTCAATTTGAATTCTCTAGCATTAAAGAATAAATATTTTAGCACATTTGATCAAGTAATTTGTGACAAGTATCCTTAAATAAATTTGCATATAGTGAAATCTCGAAATAGCAGACGCTACGGTCCAAATTAGGTTTAATTCAGGCTTTAACGTCCATGCTCATTATCCCCCCATTATTCCAAAATTTACAACAATAAAATGAAACATGGAAAATTTTTCAGTCAATTCACTAATTAATTTGAATATCATCAAAGAGATATATAAATTTGAAATCAAATATAATTAAAATTTCGATTGATAGCTAAAGAAAAAGGTTTTTCGACGAATTGATTATGCTAAAAGTACAACTACATACATATTTTTTAAAGCTTACAAAAGTACAAAGAAATTTAAATAAATTAAAATGTCTAATAATTATGATTAATCTAATTTATATAAGTCTATATAAATGCAAATTATGATTTATAAAAAAATTTATGTCAAAAAATTATTGAGAGAAACAACTCATTAATATAGACTCTTTTGTTAATTAAAGACTTCTTCTCCTTGCTAACATTATGGAGCCAGTCGTTATTAACATAATTCCAGCAATTACACCGGCTGTTATACCAATAAAACCCAGAATATTCACAGATTTAATTGAATTACTTGTGTCAGTATGAATAGGATTAATTCCAGGACTGAATGAACCAGTTTTAGAAGAAGGTATGTTGGGTAGAGAACGAGTTTGAACTGTAGTTATAGTAGAAGAATAAATTGTAGCTATAGCTTGAGATATTTGAGAGGCCTGAGGTATTTGAGATATTTGAGAGTTTTGTGGTATTTGAGATATTTGAGAATTTTGAGGTATTTGAGATATTTGAGGCGGAGTATTTGGTGAATTTAAGGAAGGTGGATATGTTGGAGACACTAATGTTATTAAAAATAGTGATTATATAAAGATGATATATTTATTATGATATAGAGAAAGATGGTATATTTATTTATATAATGACAAGCAATACGAGCAAATAATGAATGTTAATAATACCTAATATAACAGTGAATGTACCAGACGAACAGGTAACATCATTATCGATGTCGTGAATGACAAATTTATACGTTCCTGGATCAACGTTAATTACCCATTGTGTATAATAGACTTCAAGGTTCACTGGATTATTTATTGACTTGCTTATTTTTGTATCAATATTGCTGATTTCCAAGACATAGGGTTTTGTTGAAATGGTACCAGCAATCCCCCAAGTGATTGTAATTAAAGAACCAGTGACGACTGGACTAGTTGGTGTGTCAATAATTATAATATCTACATTTTTATAATAATAAAAAAAGTAAAAGAAATATGTGTTAATGAAATTATTAAAATACTTAATTCACCGGCAGACTCGTTAACTATGACGATAATAATTACTAATTCGACTACATAAACTAATAATCTTTTAACTATCCTAAATTTATTAGTTTATAAGTTTTTAAATAACGGATAACATACTAGCAAAGGCAAAGTCAATACAGATAAAGAGCGTTGCAATTATAATTGCAAGGGAGCGACCCACCATTGTGTGCGGTAAAGAGGAACTCAAGTGTAAAACGAGAAATAAACGACCTTTTGTTTATATTTGAGTGTACAGTATTACTGTTACATTATTATGCACATGCGTTGTTAATTCAGGTTTTATAATCTAATTAGGAATTGAGTAATTATAGCACATGGATGAAACAATTGATCACAAAGTCATGTGTTATTATCTTTTCTATAATATTATTGGTTATCCTATTTAAGTAGTTGTGCGATTGTGTGATTGTTGATTGACATTATCGACGTTTCTTTATTTAGCATTCCCAAGGTTGCGTAAGTAATATTTCTATACCTATTATTCAAAAACCAATCTCATACTGTATTAGTGGAATAAGTATCTCATAGTCCGAGTTGGTAAAAATTTTAGTTGCCCAATTATATATCGACTGATCTGCAGGTCTAATAAATATAAAAAACCAATGGGTTAAAATTCCGGTCAAATTTTAAAATTATTTTACTTTAGATCTGGCCAAATAATCAACAGTATGGCCGGAATTATAACTTATTGGTTTTATATTAGTGCTGCAGAGCGCAAAGCTGGATGTGAATATTTAAATTCTCATTATGGCGAATTTATCCCCTGAAGAAATTCGATATTACGTACTGATAAACAATGCTTTGATAGTTCAGTAACAAAAACAATAGAAATTTTACTAAACGACTAGAACACTGATTATATACGTGATTAAATAGGCTAAACCCGCCATAATAAAAACTTAAATATCCACTTCCAGCTTTTCGCTCTGCAGCACTCATATTTATTATGGCATGTAAATTAACCGTGGTTACAGTATTGTCACGAAATAACGCCACGGGGCGTTATTTTGTGACGATATGGTAAATCACCACCCAAATTTTTTTAGATCATGTGATTTACATGATTAATATGATTTTTTTATATAAGATTTTGTTTATTAATACATGTAAGATTTTTGAATTATGAAAGAATGTAATCACTTCATACTAAAAGACCTAAAGAGGTTTATAAAAATACAAAAAAAGGCAAGTTTTAAGAGCCAAAAACATGTATTAATTGTTAAAATAAAATATCATTATTAATTAAACTTAGAAATAATCAAAAACAGAAGTAAATATAGTACAATAGAAAATCTTGTAGATTATTTATTTGAGATATGAACAAATAAATAATTTAATTGCATTTATATATTATTGCAATAGCCAAAAAAATTAAAAAAACAAAAAATTACAAACTAATCAATATAATGCAGAAGTGTGATAACTTGTGAAGTGAACAAGTTGTTACTTCTTCAAGTTGCAGGTTGTAAGCTCAAAACTTACTAATGACAAAAATTTAGATTTTTACTTATATTTCTGATAATTGGGTTAAGATACCTGTAATTATAGTTACATCAGCATAACTAGTAGGTTATAAAACATCAATGTAACTAGTTATACAAAAGAATGCAAATTAGTATTAAGTAGTACAACTTTAAGATAAGTTCTTATAATTATGTAAATCTGTAAAAATTGAAAAACAAAAAGTCTGTTTGAAAAGATCTGAACAAAAAAATAATATAGATTTTTGATAGTATTATTGTAAAAGTTAAACTTACGAAACAGATACAAATATTGAAAAAAACATATATATATATATATATATTTTTTTTTTTTTTTTTTTTTTTTTTCAATAACGTCAGAGTAGAAACTTTATTACATTTTTAGAAAACAGAAGTTCTAAGATTAAAGATTTCTAACTACA